CTGTAGTTTTTGTGCAGAATTATTTGCTTTATAATTTCAAGGTTGCCCCAACCCAGCCTTGTGAATGACAAGTGCATATTTGAAATCTAAAGCATTGACTCCTTTTTATTAATACGAAACAAAGTAAACGATAAATATATATTTTTTCTGGTAATGAAACCAAGGATTCCTCAAAAGTGCATGCCCAAGGCACTGTAGCTCGTAAACCCCGAAAAAAAAAACGTGTAGAGAGAAGACAATGAGAAGAAATTACAGTTTTAGTGGTGGGAGGAAACCCCAGAAGAATAGTCTGGGGAAATAGCAAATGGTTTTCAGTAAAAGCCTTTGATTAATTTTCATTCATACAGATGGCAGAAATGCAAATGCCAGTTCTTATTCATACGAACCATCCTACGGTATTATTTGTACTTTTTCGCGATTAACATTAATTATGCAGTAATTTTGCGCAGAATTATGTGCTTTTATATTTTCAAGGTAGCCCCAACCAAACCTTGAAATATGACAAGTAAATATTTGAAATCTGAAGCATTTACTCCATTTTATTCATAAAAAAAACGAAGTAAACGCTTATAGCGTAGCACACCCACGGAATCAGGTAGGGACTGAAAACCCAATCCACGTGTAGACCATGGGTGCCGATGCACAGCGCATTGTGCGCGTAAACAGCATTGCGTTCGTCACGTTTGGTGCGCTTTTTTTGCATCCGTCCTCGAGCACAAGACACCCCCCCCCTGGTGCCGCTTTCCGTTTCGGTTACGATAGTTTTATTTTCTGCAAACTTATAAACGTGTAAAGCTTTACATTTTGCAGGCCATTTACTCAAGAGCAAATGGTTTTTAGTAAGAGCCTTTGATTAATTTTTATTCATACAGCTGTGGCAGTCTGCAACAAATCGTACGGTCCCCCATGACGGACCACAGAGAATAATGTTAATGAGATGGGAGTAATGCAAATGCCAGTTTTTATTCATACGAACTACTGTATGGTATTATTTGTACTTTTTCGAGATTAACATTAATAAATGCAGTAATTTATGAGCAGAATTATGTGCGTTTATATTTTCAAGGTAGCTCCAACCCAACCTTGAAATATGACAAGTAAATATTTGAAATCCGAAGCATTTACTCCTTTTTATTCATAAGAAACGAAGTAAACGCTTATAGTGTAGCAAACCCACGGAATCAGGTAGGGACTGAAAACCCAATCCACGTGTAGACCATGGGTGCCGATGCACAGCGCATTGTGCGCGTAAACAGCATTGCGTTCGTCACGTTTGGTGCGCTTTTTTTGCATCCGTCCTCGAGCACAAGACCCCCCCCCCCCCTGGTGCCGCTTTCCGTTTCGGTTATGATAGTTTTATTTTCTGCAAACTTATAAACGTGTAAAGCTTTACATTTTGCAGGCCATTTACTCAAGAGCAAATGGTTTTTAGTAAGAGCCTTTGATTAATTTTTATTCATACAGCTGTGGCAGTCTGCAACAAATCGTACGGTCCCCCATGACGGACCACAGAGAATAATGTTAATGAGATGGGAGTAATGCAAATGCCAGTTTTTATTCATACGAACTACTGTATGGTATTATTTGTACTTTTTCGAGATTAACATTAATAAATGCAGTAATTTATGAGCAGAATTATGTGCGTTTATATTTTCAAGGTAGCTCCAACCCAACCTTGAAATATGACAAGTAAATATTTGAAATCCGAAGCATTTACTCCTTTTTATTCATAAGAAACGAAGTAAACGCTTATAGTGTAGCAAACCCACGGAATCAGGTAGGGACTGAAAACCCAATCCACATGTAGACCATGGGTGCCGATGCACAGCGCATTGTGCGCGTAAACAGCATTGCGTTCGTCACGTTTGGCGCGCTTTTTTTTCATCTATCCTCCAGCACGTGACACCCCCCCCCCCCCCCCGTGCCTCTTTCCGTTTCGGTTACGATAGTTTTATTTTCTGCAAACTTATAAACGTGTAAAGCTTTACATTTTGCAGGCAATTTACTCAAGAGCAAATGGTTTTTAGTAGAGCCTTTGATTAATTTTTATTCATACAGCTGTGGCAGTCTGCAACAAATCGTACGGTCCCCCATGACGGACCACAGAGAATAATGTTAATGAGATGGGAGTAATGCAAATGCCAGTTTTTATTCATACGAACTACTGTATGGTATTATTTGTACTTTTTCGAGATTAACATTAATAATGCAGTAATTTATGCGCAGAATAATGTGCTTTTACATTTTCAAGGTAGCCCCAGCCCAACCTCGATATATGACAAGTAAATATTTGAAATCTGAAGCATTTACTCCCTTTTATTCATAAGAAACGAAGAAAACGATTTACGGCTCACACGAGATAAAATGAAGATCCTGGATTATTCTATCAATTCTTGCAAACGTCAAGTTCGGGTCTCTCACGGCTAAGTTTACAGTGATTTTCAAAGAATAAAATCTATTAATCCTTAACGTGACATCACGTGACCCATGATGACGTCATGATGACGTCACTCTATGCCTATGCAGACTTTGAATGATGTTTGACAAAGATTCATGCAAAAAGTGGCGTTGAGAAAAGACGTGTACAAAGTCTACGGGGTTAAGGCGACAAAAAGAAGAAAGAAAAACCAGCACAAAAAGAAAGGCTTTTCCGCAACTATGCGGGAAAGCCAAAAAGACGAGATGTATGTTTGTTGACAAACATGGCTGGTTCGCTATTGTGTTTTTATGGCATGTTATACTGTAGACTAACGGGAGATAATAGATGTGAAGTCGAAAGTTGCAAAATCATGAGGACAAATGGTTCAAAAACATATGCGTAAAAATGCAGATTGGATTGAATGTCTATTAATTCTTATCTGATGACGTCATCATGACATAACTGATATTGTGATCGATATCATATTGAGGTTTAGACCCCCGTCACACTTATTCGGAATCAGCAGGAATCAAGCAGAACCAGCCGGAATGAAGAATTTTCAAAATTCGTGCCACATTCGGGAGGAAATTTCAAATTGACCAAGCTTTGTAAGAATGCCGTTCGAATACTTAGAATGCGCTTCAAACCCGCCTCGAATGATTCTTGCACATTCCGGGTGTATTAGCTCTCGAATGCAGCTCGAATGTAGTTGGAACACAGTAGGAATATTTAGAATGCTGTTAGAATGCAGTCAGAATATTTAGAATGCACTCTGATTGCTGCCCGAATACCGCTCGAAGTTTGGTTGGAAGGTGCATGCCTCGAACTTCGAGTGCTGTACGAATTCACCTCGAATGCAGTCAGAACGCTCCCGGAATGGCCACTGAATATGGTTGGAACGTCCAAGAATTCAAACAGAATGCAGCTCGAAAAAGATTCCGGCACCAATCGAGATACATTCGAGGTGCATTCCGGCTCATTCGAGGCGCATTCGGGACATTCTGGCAGGATTTGAAGTGGCTTGGCCTTTCGATTCTCCCTCGAATGCGATCAGAATATTTCGAATGTTGTTGGAATGCCGTAAGAATATTTAGAATGCAGTCAGAGTGCAGTTAGAATACACTTCGAATGCCGTTCGATATTTCTCCACTTCGAATGCACCTCAAAAGTTTTGAGCATGAGCAAAACATTCGGACCGGCCACATGAATGGGCCCGAATATTTGAAATGCACTCAGAATGCAGTCAGAAGTTTTAGAATGCACTTCGAACATCCAGGAATATACAAAGAATTTTCATTCCGACGGCATTCTGGCTCATTCTGCCTCTAGTGTGACTAGGGTTTTAGGTAGAAACTATATTTGTCAACTGAATGGAACTTGTAGCATGTCGCATGTAGTAATATCAACAGAAATTGTGCACAATTTTGCGAAACCATTTTTCCAATCATAAGTATTTAGCCTCCACAATGTTCATCTATAACGCATCCCGGTCTAGGTACATACAGACTTTTAGCCCAATCAGTCATGTAGTTCAGGAGATATATGCCTTCAAAATATGTTTTTTTACTATGATGTCATATGTCACGTGATGACGTCATCATGACATTATTTTTTTATTTATAAGATATCCCAGTCTAAGTATATTCCAACTTTGAACCCAATCGGACCTGCAGTTCTTGTAATACCGGCTTTCAAAATATGTACTTTTACGATGACGTCATATGTCGTGTAAGGACGTCATCATGACGTCACTTTAATTTTCATCTAAAACACATCCCGGTCTAGGTACATACCAACTTTCAACCCCATCGGACCTGTAGTTCAGGAGATATAGGCCTTCAAAATTTGTTTATTTTATATGATGTCATATGTCACGTGATGACGTCATCATGACGTCAAGTGATTTTTCATCTATAAGACATCCCAGTCTAGATACATACCAACTTCCAACTTAATCGGACCTGTAATTCTGGAGATATAGCCCAATCTGTCAGATCTAGCCGAATTCTGCTAGAAAATGGTCACAACTGAAAAATCGCATATAACGTCACGTCACGATGACGTCAATTTCGGCACATAACTTCAGGTGCTGGTTCAAGTGTGTGCCAAGTATAAAGGCAATCGAATTGATTTTAGTGCCCAAAGTGCCGGGGACAAAAAAAACTTGCACAAATGCTATGGGCAAAAATGACTGGGAAAGAAAAAAAATAATAAAGTAAAAAAAAAAAAATCTTAACGAAAACAAAGGCTGTTTCGGCAAAAGTGCCAAAACAGCCAAACAAAAATCTTAACGAAAACAAAGGCTGTTTCGGTTGGTTGCCGAAACAGCCAATAATAACATATTCCAAGTGATACTTCGTGATGAGGGGATGGCCCTTTCATGTCGATTATTAATTAATTGGTGATTGCTTACGGTGACTGTTCTTCTTTTTGTAAAATCTTCAAGCTAAAGGCAAAGCTCTTGCCAGGCGAAGGGACGAGAGACTAAAAAAAGCTTTGCGTGTTGTTGTTTTTTTCGCTCGTCGCCATGAGCCATCATTGTACATTGTAAACACAAGAATGCATCTTTCAAAATTCTTACTCGAGTGCGACTCCCAGATGTCCTAGATGCTCCTTCCGCAAGTAATAGAGTGACATCTGAGGCCTCTTGGGGTATTCGCCCTCCTGAGCGAACACCTGTTTGGCGGTAGCAGGGGAGTACACGTTGACCCACTGCCGATGCAACACTCGCTCCGCCACTAGTTTGCTCTCCTTTCCGTACTCCTCGAATCTGATTGTGGTCCAAAAACAACTCTTATAATCAATTTTGCCGTTTGAGATGCTGATAAAGCTCACGAGCGCCCATTTCGGAAAAGTTTATGATTTCAACAACTTTAGACTAAACCCATGCCTTGTTAAATCAACACAAAGCTATACTGGTATTTTCACTTCTATCTATATTTGATCACCTTATGTAATAATCCCTGATATATCATGTTAAGGAATGTACATCGTTTCTTTGACACCCATGGCTGGCAAACTGTGTTAGGCGAAGTAAAAAAACATGTTTCTCGTCCCCGCCCGCTTCCTTTTTGGAGGCCGCCTAGATTTTTATTTTTTTTTATTTTTGACAAATGCAGTAAAAAAACACCGAAAAAGTCAACAAATTCATCGGAAAAAAAATTGTAGACCAATACAAGTATAAATGACACTGTTAATATGTTCAGTTCTCTTGTCCAACTTATCTTTCATTTTAAAAGTGTCTTTGAACAGTGGAAACACCAACGGTTGCATTAAATGGCGGCCATCTTGAAACAAATAAAAAATATAAAAAAAACCGCTTCCTCCTTTTTTTTCAAAAAACCCGGACGAGAAACATTTTTTTTTTATTTGGCCTTAGGCCAACGTTGCAAAAGAATAAAGAACAGATATTAATGCTTCCAAATATATCATTGGATTATTGAAAATACGCTACCACGGGACCTTATAAAAACGCCTGTTTCTAGAATGAGGCTTCAATCCTGGCAAAATCTCGCTGGGCCCCCAACCCCCCGGCCCCCTGTCAATGTTGTCTCTCATTGCGCGGTGTTTGCTCCATCAGCTGGAGAGAGCAACATTGACCGGGGGAGCGGGGGAGTGGGTGACCGTGGAAGGCTAAGGTTATTTCCAAGTGTCCCAACCATTTTGGCCGGGTATTAATATGCAGTGTTTGGCAATATCTTTTGCCAACCACGGCTTAAATGTATGTCCTTTGGGGTTGGCAGCCCATAAAACAATGCCGCTCAACTACGTACGAAAGGTCTGTAACACCGTCCAACTTGTAAAACTCGTGCAAAACTCATCTCAGAGTATAACAGCCTAATGCCCGACATGACTGTAAAGGCGTAGGTTATTTATGCAACGGGTTTTTTTTGTGATACACAATAGGCCTACTACAAAAGGTGACGTGGTTTACTGCTCAAGGACTCTCACAAAATGGTTGAACTTAATGGTTGAACGCTAAACGCATAGTCAAGAACATTAAAAGAAATTGTCGACATCATGACTTCAAAATGCAACCCACAAACAACAACATGAAACGGTTTAGCCTACCTGCGTTGCCACATCTTATGGTACTGCTCGGGTTTGAAGTCATTAGCTAAGTAGTTGGGGAAACATCCTACGATGGGCCACAGTTTGGGTCCAGGAATCTCCTCGAACGGTCGTCTCGTCTCCGGTGCCTCTTTATTAAACGCACTGTGAGCTGTCTCCTCCACGAGAGCCGTCTTGGGGCGAGACCACTGTACGGTCGGCCCAGACCAAGTTTTGATCGGCAGACACTTGCGTAAAACGCGATACCGATACATTTTGGTTTTTGTCACTCTTGTAAGTTTATGTACATGTAGACTGATCACTGACCACTTATTACAATGATGTGCATAGGAGACTGTACGGTTCCCACCATTACCATTACAATTCAAAAAGCTTATCCATGCATGACATAAAGTGATTCGGTTTTATCTACAGAGGGCAAACAGAGGTCAGTACCTAGGCCTACGTCATTTCACTCCCGTTTACCCCCCCCCCCCCCCCCCTCCGTAAAAAGTTACGCTACAGTCCAGTAAATAGGCAGATTTCAGTGAGAGGTTAAAAATGGCCGTTTTGGATAAAGCTCATGACTCTCTGTGTTAAATGAGGCTCAGGCGTGCGAGGGGCATGTTCTCACCCTAGGGAATCAAGGGGAGTGCCTGCGTCGATTGCTCGAATGTCGCTGATGTGTTTTCTTTCACTTTATGTTTTGTTTTATTTCATAGGCCAAAATTTGGAAGCCTTATAGAATTATGCAGTCGTTTCCACCCATTCCCCGGTCGGGGTAATACATCAAGTTTAACCGTGGATGCCTTGCTCTATGATATAGCAATGGTATATAGCTCTAGTCTTAGGCTCTGAAAGCCTTTTTTGCGATGTTTTAGACATGAAACTAGTCGCAGCGCTGTCCTTGTAGACCTACAGAGTGGCTTCGCTATTGCTCATGATTACACCAACGCACAAATATAGTTTAACTAGGTCCAATCTGTAGGAAATTGGGGGCAAGTATTTAGAGTTTGCTGTGGCTAACTAGCCCCGAAGTATATTTGCTCGAATCTCGTTTGCACTAATTTCACTCTATATACCTACTAGACATGACTACTACAAAGGGGCCAGGACATGCAACCAGTCTGCCATGTTGGGCTATTTGTGTTGCAAAAGTTCGTTTACCCCAGACCTGAAAAGCTCATGTAACAGATTTTACAACTGGTACTTTTTACGGGGGGGGGGGGGGGGGGACGGGGGGACAGACACATTCTCCGTTTAAGAAGGGGACAGTATATCCTAGAGGGGGACAATATTTTTTGGGGACACTATATCCTAGAAGGGGGACAATATTTTTGGGGGACACTGTATCCTGGCAAAACCAGGAAAATATTTGCAGGTGCCGATCATCTATAACGTCTTGCATTACTGAGACTAGCAATTAAGTTATGCATGCTTGGTTTAGCTTCATATTGTTTTATTCCTTTACTGAGTATTTTTGTTATAAACACTGTGTTGTCCGAGGGCTTGCAAGACAAGTCTAGAAGCTTACTTGGATGGGAATCGGCGCACGACATCTACCTCCATGGTAACTAGACTTCTTACTACTCGACCAACTATTGTGGGCGAGTGAGAAAAGAACAATTAGTACCTCCCCGGCGCAAATTAACGCTCCCGTTTAACCCTAGTTAGTAGTTACGCTTCAGTGCAGTCCAGGAGTAGGCAGATATCAGTGAGAGTATCAAAATGGCCATTTTGGATAAAGCTCATGACGCCGTGTCACCCTGGGAATCAGCCAAAGCGTCTGCGTCGATCGCTCGAATGTCGCTGATGTGTTTTCTTATACTTTATACTTTTTATTGTATTATATAGGCTAAAATTTGAAACCCTTAATTAATATGCAGTAGTTTCCACCCATTTTCCTGGGCAGGTTAACACAATGGATGCATGTCTTGCTAGCTCTAGTAGGCTCTAAAAAACTCTTTGGCGATATCTGAGACATCATGAATAGTCGCAGTGCAGGGGGCGCTGTTCATTTACAGAGTTCTTCGCTAATTGCTGATTACACCACCCAGGTCCCACCGTACCTGTAGGGAAGTCGCATCCTTCCTCGCATGGGTTATTAAACCCCGAAGTATAATTGCTCGAATCTCCGTTTTGGCTACCTACTATATACATGTATGTCTGTGAAGGGCCAGGACATGCAACCAGTCTGCCATGTTGGGCTTTTGTGTAGCGAAAGTTCGTTTACCCCATACCTGACAATACATACAAGGCCGACCAAGCTATTTATACATTGAATCGATTTTTGAGAGACTTGTGTCGTGCACTCGGTGAATAGGCCCTAAATACGTATTTTGTATTAGTTTTCAGCACTCATACAGGTCTCATGGTGTGATGGAGCATCTGAATTTACTCTTTTGGCTGCACTGCCGGTGTGACAGTATTTTTTCGTCCCCCGTACCGAAAAAAAAACCTGTACCAAAAAAAAAACCTGTCCGGATACAGATAACGTAGGAATGAGTGTCCGGACGGCATTCAACAGATAATGGTGTTGTTTACTCATTCTTATAATGTCTGGCAACAAGCTTTAAAAATTCCTTTCGCAATTACATCCCCCTCCTAAACCTGTGATCTGACTCGTGATCATTGTTTCAAATATACACATGTAGGCTACTTGCGATTGATTTGAACTGACTTGATTACACCGGTCAACAAAATAGTTAATTTTCCGTCACACGACAATACAATAAAAGACTCGAGCATAGGATTTAAATTCTACAGGTTTATAAACATGTTTTAATGGACTGCCAAGTTACGACACGTACTTATAAGTGAGTATAGTTCGACTTTAGCAGCTTACAATCAGGATTAAATTGAAAATAAATGTTTGTATGTTTTAGACAGCCTTTCAACTCAAAGCATGATAAATAAGAGAAAACTTGCTCGGACTCTGTGGCTTTTTGGTCACCCTGAATTTCCACCGAAGGCCTAATAATGAATCAGACTCGTTTATAGCATGGCATTCATCCATAATTATGAACTGCCCAATGGCTCCGTCAACAATGAACTATTAAAGTGTAAATGAACTTCATCGGGTTGAAGTGCTCACCTGAACAAAGACTTTAAATCACTGGTTTTAATAAGCCAGTTCAGTATTCCTTTCTTTAACTGCGCATTCGCACATCAAAATATCACGATTTTCACTTCGGGATAAACACATTAGAGGCAAATCTCATGGAGCTGTTTAGGCCTAACCCAGGAACAAAATCGAGTTGAAACCAGTTCAACTGGTAATTTGTGAACGTAACAGGTTTTCAACTGGTTGGACTGGTTTTAACTGGTTCAATTGGTTCAAAACCTGTTAAACCAGTTCAACACCTATTAAAACAGTTCAAAATCAGTTTAACCAGTTCAAAACAATGCAGTTCAAAAACCAGTTCAAAACCAGTTCAACCAGTTCAAAGCCATGCAATTGAACCAGTTCAAAACCAGTTCAACCAGTTCAAAACCAGTCACCAATTTCTAGTTCAACTGGTATACCAGTTGAAATTAGTTAAACTGGTTGAGTTGAAAGCAGTTCAATTGGGATTTTTTCCCCTGGAAATTACCTGAAACCTTTGTTTAGCAAATGCAGGTTACCAGCTGAAATGGCACGTGATAGGCCTTCACATTCTAATTTATTGGTTTTCAGCTTAGTTTTGCTAACAACATATATTTGCTTTTCAGCTTTGCTGCTCCAACTCACTGGGCCCAAATCAACAAAATGTACACACTTTCAAATGGGATAATGGGAATCGAATCAGCGATCTTCAATTTCTGTACAAGCAAAAGGAAGAAAGTTTGCATGAAGTTAGCAAACTACCGTGTGAAAAAAAAATCGGAATTACGAATTTCCTTAGGAAATCATCAAATATTGAAGCGCACATGCGCCGTAGGAATACCGAACTGGCTTGCTAATAAAACAAAAGCACGATTGTCCTCCTATAGCACAGCAGTATTGAGAATCAATAACATTTTAAAATACATGGTGCAGTCATCGAAATGACGCGATAATCCTGTGCTATCATGCACACCAGGAATGGAAGGAAAAATGTTTATAATAACATTACACAAAATAAAAAAACATGAAACGAATTGAGAGCAGATTAATAAGAGTGATTCTTCACACTCCTGTCATTTATGTACATGTACATTCCCGTCTGACCGTTTTGTGTAGCGCCCTCTATCACGTGCTATTACTCACAATTGTAGTCGGTTTTTGTTGTTCGATGTGGCAAGTAAATGAACATTATTTACACGGAACACCAACTGATTTTTTAAACAGACAACACCGCACTGATTGTTATCATAATCTTGAATACACTGAATACAATACCGATGATTGAATTGATAGTATATTTACAGAATAATAAAAAATATTATTTGGTATACTCTCCTGGCATACGGGTAGTATGTACATAATTTACAGTGAATACATAGTTATTGAAAACTACTTTAGTATCATGTTATATGCATTTTTTACACAAGGAGAAATTTAACGGATAACGTCTTATACTATTTACATTGTTAGGTATCTGATTGTACACATCGATGAAAGGTGAAGGGTGGGGCTAGCGTTGTACACAGGCAAGGAAAAACGGGGGAATACAGTTCAAATCTGAACCCGCTTCTTTCCGATAATCAGATTATTTGTCAGTTTTTCTGTAATACAGTTTCCGTTTCCGGGCTTGTACTGAATCATGTACTATAGCCCATCGTCAAGATCATGTTACAACTGAACCTGAAATACCGTCATGACATCATCGGCACCATGTACCGTAATTATTACGAGAACAAAAAAGTTGTTTGCAGTTTGGAATTAATAACTGTTCGTTTCAATGCATAAAATTACAACGTATACAAAACAACACGAATTACCAGAATGGATTTAACGCGAAACCATTGGGTACAAATACAAACACAGACAACGAATTTTCATGCAAACTCCCTGTTGCAATATACATGTGTTTTCAAAATAAACTTACATTTGGCTTTCCATTGTAATAACTTTTTTTTCACGGGGACTGGCAACTCAAAATTACTAGTGATAAGGGTATCAGGTTCATACTATTTAAAAAAAAAAAGCCTTTTCTGCAGACACTGTTACTATTTTGGCAATTATCGATACTTAATTCTTCTGAAGAATGATTTAACCTGTGAGATGTGATAAATTTGGCAAATACCGGTAGAACTTGGTATGGCAGTGGCTTCACTTCGTTAGAGTCCAATACGTGTGACTGCGCATGTCTTGCGATGTCAAAGGTCATGCGCGGTCAGAGTTCACAGCTCATGCGCGTTCCAGAAAGGTCAGCTCCAGTGGTCTACTTGGGACGTTGGTGAGACGGAACAAATAATCCAAGTCTTCGTGGTGCCACTCAATGGTGAAATTCTGAACAATCTGCCGTAAAATAAAGTGAGACAAGTGTGAATACATTATATTGCTTTTTGCTATTACCGATCAAAATCTTACCCCAAAAAAACATATAACTTCCTTTGACATTTCTGGATGATTTGCAGAGAAAGCCTGTCACAATCCATGGGATTGCTGGAATGATTTTCTCCAATATTAAAGGGAATATACAACATTTGCAAACATCGAAAAATAAAACTACCAAGTTTTTGCGAAATACCTTAATAGGATGTTGGTAAATAACAGTCTAAAGCATCCTGTAAAATTATGGCACCTGGTATACTGTCATTTTCAAGAAAAGTGGTATTTTTGTATCAATTTCCAACGCTGATCGGCCGATCAGCGTTGGAAACAACTGGCTTTTTTTCAAATACTGGCCCCAATTGACCATTGCACTTGTTTGCAATCGATTACAAACCCATGAACGGGTACGAGCCAGCTAGACTGGTTCCCTGACCTTACAATTCCCCAATGTATGTTAACTGCTCTGTTTCTTCTTATATGGAGTCAGGGAACCAGACTACAGGAAAATGATCGTTTTTCTTGGTTTTAGTAGCATTTTCAAACCCAAAACCTCCAAAAAGTCAGTGTAACTATATTTGCTTTATATTTCCAACCCCCAATTCCATCCATATCTGAAAATTACAGCAAAAGCAAATGATGTATATTCCCTTTAACTCACCCTCGCTAACAAGAGGTAGACCTCTTGTTCAGCCAGACGACGTCCCAAACACATCCTGGATCCTGTGCCGAATGGAAGCACTAAGAATGGGTCGATATCCTCGAATCCCTCGTGTCCTCGCATCCAGCGCTCTGGTTTGAATTTATGGTGCTCTTTGAAGTACTGGGGCATCTGGCCGGACAGACAGTGGACCCGTACTAATGTCTGAAACAAAGGAACACGGTAGTAGCCTTTATGTTATTCCTAAAATGATGAAATCAGTTTGAAAGCAACTTTTATCTTCGACGAACTCAATTAAATGAAAGCAAATAAGTGAGTGTCATATATCGCATGATAAAGCGTGATCGGATTTGCAACAAAATTGCTAAAGCCTGAAGAATATTCCCGTTATGATATACATGTACTGTCGAGACTGTTCAAAGACACAATACATAACATAAATCATAATATTTTAATCTTCAAACCAAATGAAACAAAATAAAATGTCTGTTTCTTTTCACATCTACAATGCAGCATGTTTGTTTGAAACATTTCCCTGAGCGAAAGCCGTTAGGATGAGTTTTCAGAGTCATAAAGTTGTCAGTACTGTCGTTCGTACAGAAAACAAATTGGAATCTGAAGTTTTATACTTTGTAGAGTATCGCTTGCACTTTGAAATGTCGGTATCGTTCAATGTTTTGCTAGTTCTTACTATTGTGTGTATCTGACATGCTTTGAATCACTTATGAGGTGTGATACAGAATGACGTGAGATGGTCATCGAAACTGCCACACATTGTATCTGGCGAGAAATTGAAGGAAACTTACATTTGCTGGTATTCTGTACCCTCTTACTGTGATGTCGTCATTGGATATCCTGCTGGTCCCATCTACGGGCGGGAAAACTCTGCGTACAAAAACACAAGTTATTGGAAAACAGTCATTGGCAAGCTATTCAAGATGAATTTGCGTCGGGGTGATGTAAATCAATATCAGGTTTTTGCCCTTCACCGACGTATAAACACTGTATGCTCAGTGTGTTACCTTCCGAGTGAAAGTTGGACAGAATCACTCGGGTGGCAAGTTATTGGCAAGCTTCTTACAGAAATCTGTTAAGACCATGTTTGTCTCGTGTTTCGGGCATCATGGATTGCGTATTTTTCTAATCATCGGCTACGTTTCAGCTTTGGGAAACATTCAGCCCCTGGTTACGGAAACTCCATCTCAATACAGGTGCTTGTTCTGCTCCGGGAACATTAATTGAGACCAACAATTTTAGTAATTCCCTTCAAAAATTAGTGTGGCGTCAGAGAAGAAGCCAAGCCGAAACGGCGCCGTGGTTTGGAAAATCATTCATGCGAGTCAACAAGGGGCGCAAAAGGTACCACAAATACAGCACTCGCTCTTGGAAGTCCAACCAATACAGGCAACAGTGAAAAATGTTATCGACACAGTGTACTACTAGTTTTACCTGGGAAAAAAATTGAACACCTTAAGATCCCTTTCAGTTGAGCTAGAGTTACAAAAACACAAAACGTTTAATGGGCAAAGTTTAAAGCATTCAGTTATTTTATACCTCGTCGTTTCCTTGACAACTGCCTTCAGGTAGGGGATGTTCTGTAGGGCTTCTGCCGTTGCGGGCGTCCCGGCCGGAAGTACTCTGTTGACCTCTTCGTGGAGTCGTTCTTGCACTTCCGGGTTCTTGGCCAAGCAGTAGAGGCAGAATCCCATGAGATTGGATGTCTGCGGTATTCATGGTATAAACGGAATAGGACTTGTAAGAAAATATAGGTGATATTATTCTTCATGCACATGCCTAAAATTCTAAGATAATTTTTTTTGGTAAAAGATTTTTTGTTTTCAACCCCCCCCCCCCAAAAAAAAACAAGGCAAGAATAACGGGTAATACTATCATCCAAAATATTTCATTTCGCTTCGTATTTGATCCCTGATCGGCCGGTTCTACAGGCGTCCTTTTTTTAAGGGTTTACTCCTCTCAGGACTTTGGTGTATACCCTCAAATTTGAATTTCATTAAAAGTGTTTTCGCGAGAACATAATATAATTAATTGACAATTTCTAAAGTGTCCTTTCTTCTAATATGACATTTTTGTCCACCGGTAATGGTCACCACAGAAACGAGCACAATGTTTAAATCCCTGACAGAGTTACATAACTGGGATCCAAATTGCAGAGGGAAACATTTTCTGGAGGGGTGGAGTCAATGCGTTTTTAACAATAAACAGTATTTTGCCTTCCTCGAATTCTAAATAGGGGGACTGAAGGGGCACAGGCATCGAGTGAAGGGGCCCTTTCCCCCCACCCCCTTCCCCGCTTAGTTATGCTTCTACTGGGACAAGGGAATAACCAATGGCCAGATAATTTTTTGATTCCGAGCGTCTTTTACCGTGTCAACAGCCGCCAACAGCAGATCATTGGTCAAAGTACAGAGATCTTCAAATTCAAGTGCGCCTCTTCTTAACAGGTAATCTATCACTGTGGCTTGCTCTGTCGATTCATTCTCATTGGCTTCAGGTGATGTGACGTCACGGTTGTTCATCTCCTCAACATACTGCTTGATATACTCTACTGCAGTGCTGTAAAACAGAAAACACGCAGTACACGCAGATGGTCGTGTGAAAGGTAGAATCGACAAATGGCACAATATATTGTGTCCTTGGGCAATCCACATAACCTAACTTGCCTTTCTTAAGCCAAGGGTATACATGGAAATCGTTATTTGCTGGGGAGTACCTTGCAATTGAGTGGCATTCCATCCTATATTAATCTCAGTCGTTTCATGCCAAGGAAACCAAACTTTAACACATGCTTAATGGGCCATATCGGCTTGAAATGAGCCATACTAACTTGATACTAACTAACTAGAAGAGAAAACCAACATGACAACTGTCGTGTATTTGAAAAGAAATCAAACTGGGGAACCCAACAGAAAGTTGTCTGCATGCACGATGACCGCTTGAAACGCAAGGAATAACGCAAAAAAAGTGGCAAATTGCTTACTTGTAGAGGAGGTCTTGGGCGTCGGCGAACCTGGACCAAGTCTTGGTCCGGATGCCGTACTTGTAGAGCGGGAACCCAAAGGTCAGGTTGCAGAGACCGGTGAAGAAGTCGTTGGTGGAGGAGATGAGACTTGCTGCCTCCGGGTTAGTGTCGGTGCTGGGATCAAGACAACCGATTCGCTTGCCGAAGACGATGGAGAAAGAAGCTGTGAACAGAGGTGAAAGTAAATGACATTATCGACAAGTATGGCTTCTGAGGGCGTCGTTTAAATCCGTTGCCGTCAGGCAAAGCAGCAACCTAAGTCTCTTCCTCATGTTTTCACCCTTAACCCTAAAGGGGCCGGGGGCGGAATCCGCCCCCCCCCCCTCAACATTTTCCGTGATAGCCTCTAAAAAATAATTTCGCGACCCGAGCTGTTATGACTATTTAGCCTCGAGCTTTGCGCATCTTTTGATACCAAAAACATAAAAATCGGACCACGGGTTGCCGCGTAGCGAAAAATTTCCGGCGCTACGCGCCGTGAAAACTGAATTTTCGCATATACGTCGTGTACACGGAGCAGAATTGCCATTCGTACATATGAATAATTAATTAGCCATAATTCCAAAACCCTTTGGCCTATAGTCATGAAATTTCTTGGGTATGTTTAGAAAGAGTTGCTCTATGCATGTGCCGAGTTTCAAAATTTTTCGTCACTCGATGGCCGAGATCTTAGGGGGGGGCGGAATCCGCCCCCCCCCCCCCCCCCCCCCGGCTGAGAGATGGTCAAAATAACCCGGCCCCTTTAGGGTTAATGGTATAACATGTACATTGTTTAATAACGTGTATACATTGTTTAACCGTCCATAATATCAACTGATACAACAGACAGTGTCGAATAGTAGGGTTTGCCTTTCGCGGGCAAGTAGGCGTCACGCGATCACTCAGTGCAATTTTGTCAACAAATCCCAAAGATCTCCTGCGATTTTCAACATAGTACGTCAGCTGATGTCTGATTTTTGACGCCTGATTTATTCTTTAAAAAAAACGAGCTATAGCTAGATTCATTAGTTAACTTGTGAAGTACATATTCGAAGGAAAAACAGCCAATTGTACACCTTGCTGGCTGTATTATAGATGGGTGCAGGTGTGATCGTTTTCCACTCAAACCTGAATACGATTTGAAAATTATTATTTCTGTTTCCACGTATCTCTATAAACATCTACTTACATTCCAGCGCCCATTTGTGGATCTGGCCGTGGTAGTCTGGTATCTCGCCTTTGTCGTCCCGGCGGGCCGCCATCAACGTGATGAAGTCGTTGGCGCAAGCCTCCATGTTCGGGATCCAGTCTGCAACGCTCTTGGGTTTGAGCATGATGTGTTGCAGTGCGCTTCTCCACTTTCGCCACTGTTCACCTTGCCTTGAGTCAAGAATAATGAACGGAAAATATATGAGCTGGAAGATAAAATGTGTACCTAACGACGAATAACAACGGTACCATTTTCATCATGACCACATTAAGGACTAAAATTTGATTTGTCTACGGTTGACGCGTAGTTGGTGTCAATAACACTGACGTGAACCGTTTGGAATCGAGACTAAGCGGTGATTTCCTTTCTGTTTTATCCAGGCACGCATTTTAAAACTGGAGTAGCCAGAGATTGAAGGCATGGGAAGTTCCTCAGCGCCAGCCAGACTAAACGTTATCATTGTAATAACGGTTCTCGAAGCACTGTTTGTGCTTTTTTGAAAGGTTTGATCTTATACACGGAGAGGTCCGTCAATATCAGAACCTTGGATAGTTAGTAGGGCAGTTGTAAGTAAGGCAAATGTACTCTGGTTCGTTCAGCACTTACAGATTTGCGATGCCGGCGTTCTTTTTGCGGATTTTCCGGTAGAATGCCATGGGCTCCATGAGGATTCGTCGCGGTGTTTTGCCCTCGTTCCGGAACAGGTCGGCCACGTCTTTTGGGTCCAGGATGTGAACGGCTTCGGCCCCGGCAATGTTCTCTTTGTAGATCGGCCCGTACTTCTTGAAGCGATCTACAATTGCTTCGTGCATCTTTTCCAAAGAATATTGTCCTGTAAGGGGAGAAAAAGTTTTGTTTTCTCACAAGCCCACAGTCAAACAAAGTGACAAATCCAGGAAACTTTTGAAACACATGCACTGGCAGCAGCTTGTTGATACAATTTACTGTTTGGCTGTAAGTTAAAACTTGGATGCAGTGGTACCACATTTTTTCCCAGGAATCAATCTCGATTGATGCAACATTTTTTGTTATGTATTACAAATATTATCATGGAAGGTTTCTTGTAGCATCAAACAATGTAAACGCCACTTTTTATATCAAAATGTGTTGTTCTAAGAAGACCCCATTCTCTCCACCAAAACCAGTCTGGCATTCTCCTGAAGACGCACCGAGCTCGAAACGTCGGGTCTAAGAGTTGCCCATTACTCAGAAAGATAATGGTGCACAAACCTTTTCATCTATTGTTGTTAGAATTGTTATCGCTTTGATTGCGTCAAGGAGACTTGCGTAAATGTGTAGACATGCTTGAAAGCAAGTGAAAGACTAAAGTGGGTCTAAAATAATTACCGAGTTTTGTGTAATCCAACAAGGATCCCAACACCGGCAATCCTTTTGGACCAGGCACCTCCTCGTAAGGTCTGGCCGTGGAGAGCGCGTTAGCCCCGGTAGTAGACCCTGCAGTGCGCGGCGATGAAGCAACATCTGTGTTGGAGTCCGCCAGGTCATGGTTGGCCATCGGACACACCCCTGCCTGGGCCGCATTGCTAGGGCTAGACGTGCAGGTCAGGCGACTGAGGTAGATCTGTACCGGACGAGAGCCGGCTGCCGCCTTAGCCAGCTGATACATAGAGCTACTCTGGCTCGCTGAAAACATCGTTGTTAGGAACTGGATGAGGAAAAACAAGAAAGGTTCAACTTGACTATAAAAGCCACAAAAAGAGAGTGGAATTGTTTCTCAGTTCAGTTGAGTAGTACAAGTTGATACCGATGATAACTCGGCATACACAGGAAAAATACACACAATCCGGTCGGAAGCGCAAGCAGGCGAGGTTCAGAGAGGAATACCTATGGCCAACCGGGTGCTCAGAGCTCTTTCCCACTGGATAGACGGGCTGAAACCACCTACTTTTATCGTGGTGCCAGGTGCATTGACTTACTGACTGTTCACCACCGGTTCTCAAGCCGAACCACGCGCATGGTCCCTGTGTGGTAAAGGCTCGCTAGACCCATGGAGCTATAAAATAGCTCCATGCTAGACCTGGGTCCTTGCTGCAGGTATGCCGCGCAGCTGTTGCCCTTCAAACATCCCCCACTTGGACAAGAATGGCCCGCGGCAAGGGGACCCATGTTGCCAGATTTTTTATTTTAAAATGAATAATGAACGCAAACAAAATATGCCGGTAATTTGTCATACAGAATCTGCAATGAAAGAAAAAAATGCAGGTTAGTACATGTATGTAGGTTATTTACAGCAACAGCTGATTTCTGTCCAGGTGATCATTGAAGGGTAAAGCAACAAAGTCAAGAATCAATATTTCATTGATTTAAAGTTTATTTCTCATGAATCATTTCGCAGCCCACAGAACTAGAAGTTTAGACCGGGTAAACTTTCAATCATTCTCTTCCAAGAGCAAGGGCAATAGTCCAGGGGTGTCACTAATATTGCCGGACACTTCGCCTGCGATTCATCATGGGGTTTCTGACTGTCAGGAGAAAATTGGCTTTTATTACCCAAGTGACCAAAGGCTTTGGATCCTGGCTTCTGAGTGGCTAAAAGTAAATCCTCCAAATTATCAACACACGCTTGTTTGGGGTATCGAAACAGATGTGTTGCACGCCAAATTTCACACCTGTCCCCTCAAAGAATGTCAGACCTCTTTTGCCCTGGCACCACTTGATCCACTCGTTATTTCAACAGCCTTCCCGATGGTAGCTTCAGACCCTCAGCTCCCGCCAAACCAGGCTTTTCTCATTAAACTGGAGAGAAGAAATGCAAAGCTTGAGGAACGACATTGAGTTCAAATTAGTCCGGAATATTTTCCACGTCGTAATTCAAAAAAGGCGAATTTTAAGCATTCCGGGAGCCGGAGCGGCTTGGCGGGGGAGGTTTTTGGCCCATCCGGGGTCCCCGGTGTACTTCCCCAGAAGGTCTGTTGTTTTTAGGGCCGAAACAACGGCCGGAATCTGGGCCACTTTTACGTTGATGAGTTTCAGAAACAAAAACAAAGGCAAAGTTTCTTTCGCAATACCGCTACAGCAGGTGTTATGGTGTGACCTCGAGACTGTGTTTCACGATGTTGGGCCACGCAGTGCCCTGGGTGTCGATCAGTACATCCACGATATTGTTTGTATAGTAACCCCTTCATTGGGTGAAATTGCAACTTTGACAAAATGTTTCTGGTTAGAATGACATCAAAAGGTCATCCAATACTACAAAGTGCATACATCAAATTGCAAAGAAAACACAACAATTATTTTACAAAAAAAAATTGCCGGTTCTTATTACGAGCTGAATGTATTCTTTCAGTACAACATTCATCGATGAATTTAAGTTGAAATAATTAAATATAAACAACGTTTTAAAGGGAATATATAACATTTGCAAACATCGAAAAATAAAACTACCAAGTTTTTACGAAATACCTTACTAGGATGGTGGTAAATGAGAGTCTAAGCATCCTGTAAAATTATGGCACCTGGTGTGCAGTCATTTTCAAGAAAATGGTATTTTTGTAAAAATTTCCAGCGGTGGTCGGCCGACCACCGTCGGAAAAACGTAACTATTTTTCAACTACTGCTCCAAATTTACCATATATTCAGTTCAAATTTTGTTTGCTATTGGTTACATGTTCATGAACGGGTGCAGGCCAGCTAGACTGGTACCCTTATACCTTACAATTTTCCGGCATCTGTAAATTGATCCATTTTTTTATATTCAGTGGAGTCAGGGAACCAGACTACTTGAACAGTTTTCATATTTCTTGGTTTTTCCAGCATTTTCGAACACAAAACTTCAAACATGTCAGTGTATATAACAATATTTGATCTATTATACCATGGAGCAAGGAAAATTCCTTGCTCCATGATTATTGCTCCATGATTATACTAACCCCTCAAATAGTTCATTTCTGAAAATGACCTTTAATAGCACAGATGCACGCAGCTCCCAAATTACAATTGCGTGCGCACAACACATTTCAAAGGGTCATCCTTTCAGTATACTGTAACATTCGTCAATGCAATGAACTTTTAAAAACGGAAATAATTAAAAGAGGTGTTATTTCATTCACACAGTAAAACGACCAATTAAAACGCAACTTCTGAGTAGCACGCGCGGCTCTCCAATTAACATCTTGCGCACGCGGCATTTCAAAGGGTCATCCACCTTGCAACAGAAATCAGTCAGATCTCCGTTCCCAGCTGTCTTTCCTCCCTGGAGCAACGATTTGGCCTGGCCGATGGCAAGATTATTTTTGTGCATTACTTCTGGTTGGGTAACCGTCTCTCTTCTTGTGCTGGACCCAAACCGGATATCACCGCTATTTATAAATAACGTGTTTTTTGTGTTTTATTTTTTTTCCAAGTTTTTTGGCCTCTCTGATTTGCCGACAAACAAGTTTAGTAATCAGCTGCCACAGCTCGAAATCGGCTTAGGGCTTAACACCACGGCTAGCCGGCCAGGGTGACTCAAACATCCGTTCGGCCAGCCGATAGGTCTCTTCAGATCTTGGCTTTTCCCATGTCCACTTGGCCAACGAACCCGGTGCAAAAGAAAATTGATAAGCCGCAGCCAAATCTGCTCTTGGCCTGCGCGTGATATAGGATCACAATCTTTGGCAACGCCTGCTTCGATTTGCTTCCCACGAAATCTGAGAACAAGAAGACTTTGTCTTAGTTCATCATTTACAGAGAAAGGAGGTTGTAGTTCACAGCTATTTGGATACCGTGTACGGTGTAATTAAGTCTGGTGGCTTTCCATCAGTCGTGTATACTGAGCATGAATGATGAGCAGTTTTAAGCACTGCCCTAAATTCGTCCAAAGTTAAACTAGTTTATTTTTTCTCACTGGTGGTCCATATACATTTAAACTTGGATAAATGTATTTTTGATAATGCTCTTTGATCATGATCAAATATGATGAATGTTCAAGCCCTGGAGTTAGTTACAGATCAGTTGCATGCGACCGTTTCGGATTTGAAAGAAACCATATCGAATTGGCCTATATATGGTGATCCATGCGAAAAAAAAACATTTGGGTTTTCTTGAATGACGGATTGTCCCAATTATTGTGGCAGAGAATTCGAAGTCCTTTGCCTATATTACAAGATGCGAATAATGTTGACGTTGTTGAAATTAAATCAAAGATCACATCATCCCAGGGCGCAGAGCAACTACATCCAAATCCAATTCGATAGTCTCGTGACTATCAAAATCAATAATCACGTGATTATGTTGGTTCGCCCGAGTGACGAGTATATTTGTACTTTGCAGGAAACTTCGACAATAAGCGAGGTTTTGACTTTCAAAATATTCGAGTACTCGAATCAATCGTGAACAGCTCGAATTTATCACCTGGTCTTGCGATATTGAATAATACATGGTTGAGATTTAATCAGACCAATTCCAAGTTCCAACGAATGTGTCATTCGTCGCACAATATTACACTATTGACACCTAACGGCACGTGCAAGAAACTAGGTCGGCAGAATCTCAAACGCACCGCTTTGGCCGGTAATTGGCTCCCTGTAGCGCTCCCACCATTTGTCCCCTTTTGCTGTTTTTGATTTACTATCTATGGCACGTGGCGACCTCACCTGTACATAGCTGTGCATCGTGAGTACATGGATCATTACACAACACTTTACATAAACGTTAGTGATTTTGTTTCACATTAAATTGGATAAAAATTCGAAGGCGCAGAAATCCGCACAGTAAGTTGCATTTTTTGAAAGTTGAAAGTAAATTTTTGAAAGTAATTGCAGCAGAAGTATCATACATGCAATTCATTTGTTTGGCTCTACATCGTTAATAACGACTGTTTCTTATTAAAAATCCTTGGGAAAACAGGCCCTTCATTTCCGTCTTTCTCCGCGACCCCGGAACCCCAAGCCATCCGTGGTTCTTTCATCCCTTTTCCAATCGATGCATTCTTCTCTGGCACCCCATTTTCATTTCTCTCGTGTTTTCTCCCTGTATAAAATAAAGAACTGCACTCTTAGGGCTCCACGAGCGCCCAAAATAACCTCGGTCGAAAGTGCACTTTCGAACCCCGCTTTTGAATCCATCCGGGCCGTCGTCGTGCGGACTTAATGAGGCGAGAGTAGGGGAAATGCCGTGGCAGAATTTCACACCGCGTGAGCCTGCGCGCGTCAGGCAGCATGGCGCGAGAGCGGGCAAAAACGACAACAAAATAATAACCCGTTGAGGTGTTAATTTTTCCAGCGAGAATCCTTCAGCGAGTGACCGACCACTCTCGGCCAGGGCTGCACCCGGCATGCGGTAGGGTTCAACTTGAGGCCAGCAGTTGACGTCGAAAATAGCAGCGAGGTGTTGTCGTTGCGACCATCGGACGAACCCTTGTTGTGCAGGTGGAAAGTACTTTTTCCTGCTTGGGCTCTCCAGGTCAGTCACGGGTACCTGGTTGCCTTGTGTGCACAGAGAAGGGGTGCCGGAAGTATTCATTGCTCCACTGGCCTTTACCTGTTCACCAGCACCAACGTGATTAGAGTTTTTCCAATTAAATGACTTCATCATGTATACACAACAGAAGTGCATCCTACGGCCAGTTATGATCGATATATACTTCACGCGATTGCCAAACGTAGGTGTATATTAAACGTCCGCACTCTTCCAGAACTTCAACACATCTCGTAATTGGTAAAATCA